CAAAAAGAAAATAAATCTGGTGGCGAAAAAATCTGGTGGGATTTTTTTAACCAATATCTAGAAACAAAGGAGTATGATGCAAAAACCTTTGGACTGGGGTTGGCATTGGAGTAATACGCCTCAGAAGCTTAGATACCGCTTTCTTTTGCATCAAATTTCTTGAATATTTTCGGGGAAATGTATTCCACTAAAATTTGGAGCTACTTTTGCAATTTTCGTTGGTTGAACATTTTAAAAAGTACTCTCTATACAGCCTTTCTTTTAAAATAATTACTGATCATCCAGCTCTTTCAAGCCCATTGAACTCATCGGAGAAATAAAAGGCGGTACAATGGTGATTAACCAGATCGATTGGTAGATTATGACCATATATAAAAATACAATTTTAATATGAAACAATTAGCAGCAACAAACATGGTTCTAATTGACTACATCTCTCAAAACCCAGTCAGCTCGGCGCTACCAGCAAGCAATTATGACCCGAATTTGGTAAAAGGTGCACTTTCATTTCAAAGCTGGAAAATTTAGACAACTGCGTGCTCAACGAATTGGCGAATAGGATTCAAGCATCGGAGTATTTGATTGAAACGTAGAGAAAGCAGTAAATAAATTGACTGTCCAAAACACTTTTATAGTCAAAAATGATATTGGATTCAAACACTACAGCAAAGACAGATAACAAAATCAGAAGGAAAAGAAAACAATTGGTGTGCTTACCAATCAGGGACAAAACGACGAAAAAAGAGAACACAAAACAGCCCAGTGGAACAAAAAAACTCCCCAAAAAGAAATGAAGATTTGTTAGACTACAAACCAGGGGGACTTCCCACAATTATAATCAGAGAGGTGGCAAAAGACGGTGGCGTGTCACGGAGCCGAATACCCAGATAGCCGAAAAATAAATTCGTTCCCGGATAGCCGAAAAATAAATTCGTTCCCGGATAGCCGAAATTTTGGATCTACTTAACAATTACCCCCTACCCATTTCTTATTAATAGGGGGGGATTCGAGATTCGTTACTAGGTACCATAGGGGGCGACAGTAGTTAAAGAGATCCTACGAAATTACTTAAAAACATTGTTTTATTTTATATGGGGTACCCCCTATCTCTACCCCCCAACCATACACTTAGTCCTATCTTTTTTCCTTCCCACTCCCTTCCCCTCCTCCCAATTACCCCCACTTTCCCCCGGCAAAAAAAATGAACGCATTAAAAAACCGGACAAATGTTTTAAAAAAAACAGGCCAAAACCCCGTTTTTGGGTTTTTTTTGAAAAAAATTTGTCCAAAAAATTGCTTTTTTTTCAGCGCGCGCTCCCCTTTAAAGTTAGCATATACTAAAATATTTTAGGGTTTGTCGGCCGAAAACGGATATAATAAAACATACCAAAGAGGGACCCTTTGGTTGGTGAGGGGGTCGAATCCCTGTTGTAGTCAGACTTTTGTAGTTAATTAATTCAATGAGAGTTAAAAAAAATTAGCGAATCACTTAAAAATGTTCAGAATTTTGTAAGCTAACAGGCTGCAAAATTTTGAGGCATTTTCTGTCCAATCAAAATGCGTCTCAAGAGTTTTCTGGTTTAATTTAACTAAAACCGGAGGTATTTAGTTTTTTCGGCTATCCGGGAATGCGGCTCCGTGGGTACGCACCCAAAAGACATCGTGGCAAGAGTGGAAAGACGCTGAACAGAAAAAAACGACAGGGGATAAAACAATGAAACCAGTATGAAGACAAGTTGCATTACATCACATCTCGGGGAAAACCATCTGGCTATCAGAACAACAATTCCGATCAAGAATCACTTGGGCGGAATTTGAAACAAAAATTGCATATCCGACGGAATATCCACGTGGCAAAGTCCGAAAGGTGGATACTATAATGACATCGCAACAAGATGGGGACAAATAGGACAAGGTAATTCATCAAATAACAGGTGCACCACGCAGAAGCAAAAACAAAAAGATCGTATTCGATCCAGGTTCTCGGACCCCCAGAGAGAACAAACTGCACAAGAGTAACATGTCGAGTTCCGAGTAGAGATATCAAAACAAAGACACTTGAACCCAAAACAATGCCAACTGGTCAGAAAAAAAAACAAAAAGTGAACACTAATTGATACCAAACTGGTAAATTTGGGATCTTATACCAAATGAGCCCAAAAAAAAAGTCTCCCGAAAGAACACAAAACTGGTAGAGGCACGTCAACTGTTGCCTGCAATAGATCATGAAATTCCATCATGTCATTGGCAACAAACACGGGGACCTTGATCGAAAAAAGTACACTCTCAAATAGAATAAAGCTACAACGAATGTTATGACATCGCTTTATAATGACGGCTACACGATAGGATTAAAATAACTGATCGCTGATACATTTCAAGATAGAAAACAATTGAGAGGCTGCCAAAAAGTCATACAGCACATATTTCTACAACATCAGAAAAAAAACCGAGCGTCCGGGACGACGGTTCAGTGATCGATGCGGCGTTGGATATCGTGAACAGTATATGATGTCCCCGTAACTTGGGCGGAATTTGAGGATGTTACGGGGACATCTGTCCCAATTCTGTAGCAATGGGACAGAATTGAGGGTGTAATCAAGTTTATGCAACTATATTTTCAAAAGTTACGTCATGGGTAATGAAGATCGACCCAAATAATAGACTATAGAGGATTACTTCAGACGTGGCGGAGCTCTCTGGATTACCCCAAGTGCCGGCACAAAACTCCACATGCTGGCACAAAATTTAAAAATCACGTGGGGAGACAACCTAACACGAGTCTATCAAATCTAGCAAGCGAAACCACACAGTTTGAGGTGAGACAACGTTAAATTGACTGCAGTTCCAGACTAGAAGTGCCTATAGAGACCACTGCTAACCCAGAACAAATGCACGATCTAAACTTCTGATAAGAGGACGCGGAATCGAGCTTCGCGGGATAGCCATCGCAAGATTGTCAAGTTGGATACGTATCAAAATGAGGACTAAAGTTGGAGAAAAAGATATATTAATTTTAACAACAGAATTTTAAGGGGTCAGAAAAAAACCGGACAAAAACCTAAGGAAGCGTTTAACACAGATGGTCAAGAAAACAATAAGTGTAGCACAAGAAGTTAAGGAACCAACCACTTTTCAGAAAAATGCGAAAAAAGTCGGAAAAACAAATTGTTACGTACACGGCGTGGGTAGAAAAATTTGGTAAATAATCGTTTCGACATAGGAGTAGCGGCTTTGCATTCATACCCAAAAATCTGCACCAATTTAGACAGAACAATTAAGCGACTTAGTGGCATACAAGTCAGCTCGACACAAGAGCTACCGATCTGGCGTTAGGGCTCTCCGTTAGTGATGGTGCTCAGCTATCATGCGATTGCTGGGTCAAATCGTACATGCGCTGCAATTTGCAAGGGGGGTCCTTTTAGTGAAACATAGGTTAATGGGCGCTGTCTACCCGAATAATTCACTTTCGATTTAGGCCCTGCGTTGGTTGCCTAAGAAGAACCTGGAAGCCTCAGCACACCTAATGGTTGAGGAACAATCAGAGGGACCATTTGTTGAAAAGAAGAGAACGAAAAATAACAACATGAGAAGGCACGACGGGGAAGCACCAACAGGCCTCAAGGAACTAGTAATGCCCACCAGCTCATGGATACAAGAAGGCGAAACAAAATAGGTCGGAGGGAGCTAACCAACCGATTCAGGATTCCAGTATGGGAAAATCACCCAGGAATTAAAGAACAAACAAGACAACGATAAAGAGTAAAATCCAATTACACGTCAAAAGAACGGGCGGCGTACCAAAACCTAGAGGGATAGTTTCAACCTTACCCAATTTTCAGAACTCAGATATGCAACCCTTTTTTGACCATAACGAAAATTAAAAATGAGGTTACAACAAAGCCGACACTAACAGAAAAGGCATCATCACTAATCGAGCTGATGGAATCTATGGCTAATCAAATACAGGAAAAGGGTGCAGATTATATTAAAGCATGCCTGGAGTTCCTGATAATTTTGGGGAAGAGGAATCAAGGCTCAAATTAAGGGAGACAAAGTAATCGAATTGTCAACAGGAAACGAATAATCAAGCATATAAGAAAACAGGACAATGGAAAAGTCGAGCTGCAAAAACAAGACTGAATGAGAGAAAAAACAAACAGGCGACAACCCAAAAACAACAATAAGGCAGAGCAAACAACACAACCAACGCCTAGAATGAACTGAACTAAAGACGACCTGAGAAAAAAACGAAAATGAGAATATAACCAGAAGGCCCAAATACTTAAAGAGCGGAGAATTGGGAGGAAAACGAGGAGTATTCTTCATAGTAAGTGAGAAAAAAAAACTCAAACTACACACACTCTTTGAAATTTTGAGCGTAACCGTGGGAGTGTTAAGCGTCCAGTTAAATATTTCCAAATTTTTATTTAAATCCTTACGTTACATTTGTTTGCCGACTTTGCGCTAAATATAATGCATTTTGCTTGTATACATCCCAAGTAAATTTTTGATTTAAAACTTGAAGTCCAGCGTTGATGTTCAAAGTATTGAGGTGACCTTCACGGCAGAAGTGAAGATATAAAGAGCTATGTCTTGAACTTATGTCTCATGTCTAAGGTTTAAACAGAAGATAACTTGTGAAAGACCTTATTCGGTTAGCCATATAATATTCTTGATTATAACGGAGATTAGGTTTAGGGGAGAACAGCTTTATAATAGATAACTTGTAAAATGGAATTTTCCTCATACGACTGTCATTTTTAAAACTGTAACTGTCAAATGGACAACCAACAAAATTGTTTGCAAGTGGATATCCAATAGGTTTTTTGTCAGATTTTTGAGCTAAGTTTCTTAGCAGTTTTCTATACACAGGAGTTTATACTGTGAAAAATAAAACACTAGCTAGAAAACTGTTATTTTAATTGTGTTATAAATCCTTTTGACCAAAACAAAAACCATTGAGCTTTGATGGAGAAAAAGGAAAATATCCTTGCTACCTTTTAGTTGTGGAATCTGCAGCAACCTGCCTGATATGTCTCTGATTTCATCTATTGGGTGCTTGCTAAACTTCATTAGCAACTCCGGGAAATCAATCAACTCGTTGCCGATTCTATGTTGACTCATTCGTTCTAGGAGTGTAAGCGCCGCTTTTGAAGCCCTATTAGTAAAGGATTCAGAATCAGAACCAAACGTTTCGGTTCCATATATGCGAAGCAAAATGCATTCGCATTTGGAGATCGCTCCTTGCTTTAATAGCTCAACTGTAATTTGTCTGTTGTATGCCACACACGCCATAGGCCCAAACACTTCGTCAGCTGTGAATTCAAGATTTTGAAGGGTTCCTTGAGTCAATTTTGCTTGCCAATCAGATGGCAAGGTGAATTTAGCTAACAGTTGGTTAACCATGAAATCAATACTTTTTCTGACAGCTGTCACCAAGTCCTGATCTTGTGGAAGACGCCAGTCAAGCACGTAGCAGAAGATCCAGACTGTCAATGCTTTCATCATGACATTTTCTCGACTCAGGAAATCTCTAAGTGTCGCCTGAACCCCAGTGTCGCGAATGGTTGGCTGTGATTCGGGGTAATTTCGAAGGATGTTAAACAATGCTCCTAATATTGATATGGTAACGTCAAGATTTTTTTCTAGGTTTTCTGCTCCTAATATTGATATGGTAACGTCAAGACTTTTTTTTCTGCTTTCTTTTTTTACTGAATTACTTTCGAGGAATTTCACGAATTGGATATGCAGATTTTTTGAAATGATGTTTTTACACAATTCTTTGCTGAAAGCCGTCATGCTTTTGATCATTCCAAGAATTATTTTAGTACTAGCTTTAGCACGAAATTCATTTTGAAACGGTAATAGGCCGATAAAGTCCATGCGAACCATTTCTTTGCAAAAGTCTTGCGCTGATTTGGTAAGCTTTAGATCGTCCCATATTCTGGCCAAAACAATAAACTTATGCAAGACACCAATTTCTGATTGTGCTTCTCTGATTTTAGCAAATGCTTCTTCCGTTTGCTTCAACCAAGAAACATCCGCCATTAAGGTTCTTCAGTTTTCGTTAATTTAAGACGTAACTAATCGAAGTGCATTTAAGACTAACTTACGCAAGAAACTAACACGTGAATAACTTTAAATTTTTTACTTGTCCACTCTTTGCTTTTGATTTCTGAATTTAATCAGGCAAGTTACTTGTTTTTGCTTGTGTTTTGTCTGGCTAGTCCGCATATTAGCTGCTATAGACTTTACTCGTCATAGTTTGAGTTTTGTAACTGGTTTAACAATTCATTTCTCATTCGTTTAGTAGAAAAAAAAAATCAAATTGTTGAGCCATTTTCAAATAAAATTAAGTTTCTAAAAATGCAGCACTGGTTGGTTACTTTAGATTCATCACCAAAAATTAGAATGACTATTTGTTCATTGCAGAAATTGTGATAAAAATAACACATGAACACACTATGAAATTTTGTTTTCCATTAAATACTGGAACCTGATCTAAACTACATTTTATGATTGGATAATTTAGATATTTTACCAATGTAAAGTATTTAATATTAACCAATCATGATCCATCTAACTAACAACCCACTTATTTGTAAGTGCTGAAGTTACTTGTAATTTCAGCACCAGAGAGATTTGAATTTAACTTAGAAATTAGTTGGACTCTCCCGAGCACTTCAGCAGCCGCAATAAACCAGTATACCCTAGATCTATTGAGCCTAGCAGAGACTAGTTAAACAACCTGAGACTAGATAGTATAAGAGTAAGATTAGGATCGGTATTAGACTAAGAAGTTGCACGAATCTATCCGGCCGAAAATAAGATAGCGTGACGAGCAGACGGTGTACCCTATCCGAAATTACTCTATGAGTTATACACTCCAGTCCTAACTCATCTGGTGCGACCATAAGTCTCGAACAAGACCTTAATAGCTTAGAATTAACCAAAATAGATTAGAAATTAGACAAAAACATTTACAAAATGTTATACGACAATAATTTAATCGAAATGTCTCTACGACTCAATAGATCAGAGCCAATATTCCGAACCATAACAGAACTACCCGGAATTGGAAGAAGACCTCGAACCAGAGACGACATACGACAAAGTAGAAATTTGCCATATAGCTATATGATAGTTAGGCAAAAACCAGAACAAACTTTTATATTTAGAATACTACTAGCAATGAATTTAGATTTTCATTTGCAAACATAAAATTTTGAAGTCAATGTTCAAAATCATTTCAAGCGCTAAACAAAATTATTAATATACAATAACGATTGATAAAAAGATCTAAGATCGTTTTCCTAAAATTCTGCAGTAATATACAAAACATGTTTGAAAAATATTTATTGAAAAATAAAAAATAAAAATTAGTAGCATGACAATAAATGGTTAGTAATCATAAATCATCCTGTTGTCCCAGCTCCATCATCTAAAACATAACAGCAATCATAAACCCACTAATATCATCAAAACACTAAATCTTTCCTTTACACACATTTAAAATTTTATTATAACTTAAATTCACTTAAATCTTTAAAACCAGATCATCAAGGCTTATCCTTGGATCTTAAATCATTTTCTACTTAATTAAATTTCAAATTTGATCATCAAGGCTTATCCTTGGATCAAACAGAACAACTTTGTTCTCCCCCACCCACTTAATTAGTGTCTAACGACCTCAAACGTCGATTCACTACCCAACCCTTTCTAAAGACCCAAGACTAATAGAAATTTTTAAACAAAACTAATCATTCAAATTAGGATAAACAGTGAAGAACTTCGGTTATTCATCCTTCACTTGACCCCCCCTCTTACCAGACCCAGGATAAATCTTAGACTTAGTAAGTTTAAAATAGTATCTAACGAACTACTCGCGTTCTAATTATACCTGAACCTTGTGGATCGATTTACTATTCTCCAACCCTTGAACACAATCACTACCCCTAAGTAAGATTAAGTAAGTTAACACCTTAACTTATACTAGCCACGAGAAAGTAAAAAATCATTCTTCGGAATCGATATACTTTTCTCTCCAACCCTGAACAAACAGACCCAGGTTAAGCTAACCAAAAAATCGTAAGAACTAACAGTTTAAGAAAATAGAAATCATTTAACAACCTTTTGCATCCGTCATCCTAAACCTTATGTCATTTAAAAACCTAGGAAATAAACAAACAATCGTTTTACACAATTGTGAAATAGATAACAAAAAATACGACCTTGTAATCACACCTCATACACAAACAGTTGGATACATCCGAACAAAACGACAAACACTAAAAAGAAAAATAATAACGAAACAAAGACAAATAACACGAAAAAGATTTTCAAAAAATCGAAACGCATTTTCAGAATCAGAAACCAACAGTTTAGACGAACTTTACAAACTAAAAGAATCAATAGATAAAAATTACCCACTTCACGATCAATTATATTTTTCTGACTCAGAAACAACTTCAAATTCATCAAAAAGAGGAAAAAGAAGAATAAAAAAGCAGTATAAACACAAACCAGTACATTTATACAATTGGAATCAACCAATTCGACACATTAATAATTACATATTAACAGTCATCGAACGAAAAAATGAGCTCAACGCACACTCCAGGTGAAGAAAGTCCAGATGATGATGAAATCTTTCCTTTTATAGTAGATGCAGATACTGATAGAGGACAACACATATTTTGTCAAAATTTACTCGTAAATTTATTTGAACCCGGAATTAGTCCATGTAAAACAGAGTTCCCAGATGTAAAAATCAAAAGACAAATCATAGACCACTACTTTAAAGATATATGCAACATAACGCAACAGTATGGAATCTACTCCATAGAATTCACCTCACCAAACCATAATAATAGAAAATATACAATTCAAACAGACGATCTTGATTTAGAATTTTCAAAAGTTTTTTCAGAATATATAAAAAGCATCCAATATCATAACTCACAAAGAGCAAACTCCATATTCACCAATGAAGTTTTCGCAATAATATATAGTTATATTTCGATATTAGAAAACGAAATCCCAATAACAAATGTCTCACCGACAGAAACATCTAAACATTTGAAAGTACGACATGAAATCACACTACTCTCTAGTTATTTAAACATCATTAAAGAAAATTTCACGAAAGACGACGTTTCACAACATACAAAACACGATCTACAAAAAATTTTGGCATGGTTCATAATAGATTATTTCACACACAATATTGATTTAATTGCACAAGCAAGAAAAAATTTTAGACCCCAAAACTCGAACGATGATACCGCTATCACAGAACAATCAGATTATGTTTGGGACCCCGAATGGTCTCATCCCGCATTTATAAGCTTCCCACAATCAATCTCAAGTCAAGCAATAAGTACGATATCTTACATAAGAGATTATGTAAAAGTAATACCATTAACCATTGATGCAACACCATTAAACTATAATACATTTTTGCCCGATACACAAAATAATAGTTTAAACTCTACAGTTATACACAATGAAAACCTCAATGGAACTAGGAATCTTACTCAACAAGATATCCAGACACCATCACACTTCATAAATGAAGAAATTGTACACACAACAACTACACAAGAAAGTATTTCACCAATACGCCCAAATTTAACAACACCAAGAAATACAAATCCTTCACAAACACAGGTAACCTTACAATCAACCGTTAAACCTTCGGTTGCTCCTAAATATTCACATATGGATTACCAAACATACAGACCCATGACAATACCATCAAAAACACGCAAAACATTCACTCGAAACAACTTTACAGACCATAATTATAATTATACACATCCATCAAAAACATATAATCAACCACAAAGAAATTTTAACCAATATACAAGATCTCGAAATTGGGATAACCCAATGACCCAACCTAATTCAATAAATTTCCAAACAAATCCTCCACAGGATCACAGTGAAAATTACCCATTTTTTCAACAAAATAAAAATAAAAAACAAACATCTTATCAAATGGATTATTTATCCTCAGATGATGATTTCTTACAACCAGATATATTTGCACCAAATACTCAAGAATATCGTAGACAAGGAATACAGAAAACACGTACAAATCATAGAAATTTTTCTCCACAACCAATAGATGCACAACATCAACAACCAATTCAACAACAAAATTTAATTAATACACAATCTTTTCAACCAATTCAACAACAAAATCCAATGACTGCACACTCGTATCAAGCATCACAAATGCAAAATGAAATACCACTCCCATATTATCTACAACAACATGAAATAACAAGAAACCAACTTTCGAATTTTTCTCAAATGCCAAATGCAGCAGAATCATTACAAATGACAATGAATCCATACCTTATGGGTGGATCATCAATAACATCAAACAAACCTTTAATGGTTTTCACAGGAACAGACCCTGAATACTCTGTAGAAGATTATTTAAATGCAGTAACAGCAAACCTGATTTTAAATATTGGACCTGAACCAATTAATACGCCACTACATCAAAATTGGATACATCGACGCACAGCGTTAATACAAACAACCTTAGATGGCGCAGCCCAAAAATGGTTTTCAGTACTACCTCTAGAAATAAAATCAAACTGGAAAAGGTTTACACAGGAATTTTCGAAAATGTTTGACTCCGAAAGAAACAAACAACAACAAAGAGTTTTATGTAATGAAATTCGCAGATTACCAAACGAAACCATCAAGCAAATAGCAGTACGAATCGAAACACTAGTTCGAAAAGCATATTCACTAAATACGCACGACTATAAAAACACAAAGATGACAGAAATCTTAATGATGACCTTAACACCACAATTAAGGAAAATAGCAATAAAAAAGAGAGCATCCCATCCTTCTTCAATTCGAGAACCCGATTTAGATTTTCGAAAACTAGTAGACAAATTAGAACAAGCAGAAATCACGATGAAACTAGAAGAAACGGAAAATCTGAAATTACAATACGTTAACAGAATTGAAACGACTCCCACTAATATTAATAATATACAGGAATCAGAGACAGACCTCGTTGAAAAAATCACTGAAATACTCAATATTTATGAAAAGAACCCAAACTTCAAAGGCAAACCATCTTTCAAAAAATGGTGTAATTACTGCCGACGATACGGACATAGTATTTCCGAATGTAGACAAAAACAGCAAGATAATCAAAATAAACCTCAAAAATATAAAGAACCAAATAAATCATTCTATCAATACATGAAAAAAGATCAA